GCTACTATTTTCAATTATTTACTGCAATGTTGGCTACTTCCTTTAATCTTCAATTAATATCTTCCCTGTAAGGTGAGTATTTTCATTTTACATATGAGTAAATTGTGGCTCAGAAGATAAGGAACGTGTTTCAAATTACAGGGCTAACTGTGAGGGATCTTTTTGTTGAAGCTGGGCATCAGCTAAAATTATCCTTGTAAAATCTGTTTGGTATCATTACTGATTAATTTAACAAATACTTACTGAACACTGTTGTGTGCTAGATGTTTTCCTAGGGTCTGGGGATATGAGCAAGACAATGGATGTGTGGACAAACAAATTAATAAATCTAGATAGCAGTAAGTGCTAAGAAGAAAATAAAATATGGTAATAGGGTAATGATAGAGGAGTCAGACACAGTCTGAGGAATGCCATTTAAGCTCAGATCCAAATAAAGTGGGCAAGAACAACATCTGAAGACAGGTGGAAAGAGTGCTTTTGGAAAAAAAGGACATCTAGCGCAAAATCTCCAAACTGGGATAAAGCTTCGTCATTGGTGGGGAAAAAGAATTCTAACATCCGTAGTACAGAGTTAGCGAGGGGAGGTAGGCAATGGCATTATGGAGATGGTAAGGACCAAATCTCATAGTGTTTTTGTCAGCCTTGTTAAGGAATGTGTTTTTATTGATAGCGCAATGAGGATCCACTGGAGAGTTTCAAAGAGAGTATGAGTGTGATCTGTTTCATAAAGAAACAGGAAGACAGGGCAGGGGGGAGGCTAAGTTAGAGATGATGATGGGCTGGAGTAGGGTGGTGACAAGGCACACAGGAAAGGTAAACATTCAGTATCGGCTTTGGAGATAAAGCCAGCCGGGCTTGCTAACAGGCTGCACACAGAGGATGAGAGAAAGAGATCAAGGTAATTTCTGGTTTGTGACCTAAACTAGAAAAAAGGCTGGTTGTATTAAAATTGTAGTTGGTATTTCAGTCTGGAGTTCAAGGACAATGATGGAAGATTAAAAAAAAAAAGTGTTTTGGATTGAATGAGCCAATCTAGAGCGATCAAAGATGGGAAACATCCTGAAGCCTGCCATCTAGAGAGAAGTTACAGGAAGAAGAAGGACTGGCCAATAAGGAGGAGGAAAATGCGATGAGGAGGTTGCTCAGAGAGCTGCCTTTTGAGGAAGGCAGAAGTGGTCATCAATGTCTGACACTGCTGAGAAGATGGGCAAGGTAAGGACAAAGAATGGCTATTGAATCTGGTAAGACACAGGTCCTTGCTGACCTTCAAGGGAGTCACTGCCAACCTGACTGCGGTGGGCTCAGGGAAGAAGGAGAGGTCAGTAAGGGGAGAGAGCAAAGAAACAACCTACAGGGAATTTTTGCTTTCAAAGGAAGCAGAAAACAAGACAATAGCTGGCTCACACAATTTTTGTAGATTACTTTCTTGTCTGTTAATAGTATAGGATGCACTTGGGCATCTTCCCACCTTTCCTTTCTGATGTTTTATTTTGTTTTGAATCCTTTAGGTATTTCTCCAAAGCCTTACACACTCTGGCTGCTTCAATTCTACCACTGACTTGCCCTTCCTATCACACAAATTTTTCCAGTTTTCCCATGCAATTATCAATAAGCTCATTCTGTTAACTGCTCACACCTCTTGTTGGCTCCTGGGCCAATAAGATGTCTTTAAAGGAAGCCAACCATTCTCTCCTCCTAGGGCAATGTGCTTCTGCCAAGATGTTTACAGAAAGGACACTTAGGTGACAGAAGTTACCAGATGGGTCTCTTAGTATCACACCTCTTCCACATAATACAGATTCACACACTTTGATGACTGGAAGAACCACAACTTCAGCAGCTACAGCAGGTTCCTAAGGTTTCCTCAGGAGGTTAAGAGCTGGTGCTGAGAATGAAGTCCAGACTTTTGGTTCCAAAGAGGCATTTGCTTGTTTTTTGGCAGTTAATGTAGGTGAGGGTGGAACAAGACCAGATACTTGGCATATCTGTTTCTCTTCCTGGAAGTGAAATTGAAATACCTTCATAGTCTGTGATAGCATCTTGTAACACCAATAGGCAACAGTATTATTTTTATTTATTGATAGCACTCATAGCTAGAAGTCATTCACTGTTTCTTCAAGGATACTTTCCAAATAAAAACACTTCCAGCCAGCCATATCATAGGTTAAGGATGGTGTAATATAATGTATGGAGGAAAAATAGGCTTTTTAAAATAAAACCACAAACAGCTAATATGATAATTCAATCAGTGAATAAGTGATGGCTTACCCCATGTCAGGTACTGGTAAGCCTATCATAGTTAAAATAAAATCCCTGATGTCATGGAACTTGGTTTCTAGTTGGAGGAGACTTACAATAATAAACTGTCCATAAGTAAAATATTAATTATTGTGAAAAGTGACAAAGAAAAGCAAGGCTTTTAGAACAAGAACACAATTGACTGGGTGGCTTAAACATTTATCTGTCACAGTTCTGGAGGCTGGAAAGTCCAAGACCAGGGTGCCAGTAGGAATGGGTTCTTGCGAGGAACCTCTTTCTAGTTTCCTCACACAGTATACAGAGACAGAGTGCTCAGGATTCTTCAGCCGTTATACAGGTACCAACTGCAGTTGCAATAATGAGTGTAACTCCCACTACCTCATCTAAACCTGACTAGCTCCTAAAGGCCCCACCTCCAAATACCATCACACTAGGGAGTAAGGCTTTAACATATGAATTTGGAAGGGGGCAGATATCAAATTCAGTGTATAACAAATAGACTGAGATTTTAAATAGGTTGTCAAGAAGGACCTCAAAGAAATGAACTGATCTATGAAAATGATCTATGTGGATGCAAGTCTAGGGAAGAGTATTCTAGGCAGGATGAAGAGAGCTCAAAGAAAAGTCTCTGGGGTCATATTGTTGCGTGGAAGAATAGATGTGGTGAGGCACAACAGGAGGATAGGTCATGTAAGAACACACAGGTCACAGTGAAGGGCTCGGAAGGTGGGGTGGGGTGGAACAGAGTGATACGATCTGGCCTATGTTTTAGATTATTTTGGCTATTGTTTTGAAAACAGACTGAGATAGAGGCCAAGGGATCAAGGGTCAGAGATCAGTTAAGAGCCTTTCTCCAAAATCTGGGTGATAATTGGTTTGAACCAGTATGGTAATGTAGGAATCTAAAGCAATCAACTTCCGGATATTTGTAATTTGCTGATAGATACATCATGGAGTGTGAAAAGAAAGAAGGCACCAAAAATGTCTCTTGAGGTTTGTAACCCAAGCAAATGGAAAGATGGAGTTGTCATTACCTGTGGCAGGGTTTTTGGGTAAAGATCAAGAGCTCAGTTTCAGACGTGAGGTCTGAGAGGTCTAACAGATACTCAGGTGGAGGTAATGAGATGGCCTCTGAATAACATGAAGCTGTATGGAGTAGAGTGTACAGATGAATCTGAAGCCATGGAGATTGGGACAGCTGATGCAGGGAATAAGTATAAACAGAAAAGAGATCTCAGCACAACATAGGAGGTCAACGAGACAAGGTGGAGACTAGGAGGTGTTAATAAAGAAAGAAGGCTTGTGTAGTCTATTAGTGTTTTATAGAAATGAAGAAACGTTTCCAGAAGAAAGGAGAGATCAACTGCTAACAGGTCAAATAAAATGAGGACAGAGAAATGAATTCGACAAGAGCACTCTGGAGGGTGTGGTGACTAAAGAATGTTGATGAGCTAATGTGAGGAGAGAAAATGCAGGCAGGAAGTATGGACTATTCTTTTGAGTCATTTTGTAAAGGGAAAAATGAGATGGTAAGTTTTAATTTTTCCAAAGATGGTAAAAATAGTATCATATTTGCTGAGAAGGATCCAGCTGAGGGGAAAACTGGCTTCAGGAGAAAGAACTGCTGGAGGCATATCCATCAGCAAGTGACTGTACAAGGGAGGGGTCTTCTTTTGATTGGAGGGTGGCGTATGACTGCAGAAAGTGGGTTCGGACTTGAGCAAAATTTGTTCTGATTGTTTCTCTCCTCATTGAAGAGGCAAGCTCGTCACCTGGGAATGAAGATGGGTGAGCAGGTTTTGGGAGTCATCTAAGAGAACAGAAGAATAAATGAACTAAAGAAAAATAATACTATGATATGAACCTGTATCTGTAAATTACTTCAAAGTAGATCTCTTGGAGGGCAAATATCTCTAATAGCAACTTTTTGGAAAAAGTAAAACTCCACTTGGATGTAAGTATTAAGAATAGGGTATATGATTTAAACCAAGTAATCCTATTTTAGTTCAAACCAGGAAATCCCTTAGGATAATTCTGAGTGTATCCCTCAAAAAGATTAAAATATTAGTCCTTTACTTTAATATAGTATGGATTAAAGACAATTGATACTTGTAACCTTAAAATAGTACAATATTCTAAAGTAAAATATTAAGCTATTTTCTTTAGTATTTTAGATTTAACAAAATTTTTATTCAATTTTAACTTTTAATTGGTAACCATGTATACATTAAGCAAACACATATGTTATATTTGCCAATTTCCCTTGGATGGCTAATTAGTAATTTACTATTTAGAGTTATGATATGTTTTAGAGATGTAAAACACAGCTACAAATACAGACTATTAGGAGAGCATAGAATACCAAACTAGTCTTAGAAGGTAAAGGCATATAGTCAATTGGAAATTAAAGATGTCTCAAGGAAAACCATAGAACATTTATGGCATTATTCAACAAACTCTCCTTCTGGGGTTACTACCATGTTATTTTCTGATGAAACTTAACACTTAACTAAAGTTGGTAAATTATTGCTATGACACTACCCTGTAACAACATAGTAAGAGTTCCAGAGAATATAAATATAAGATGCAAATTAATAAAATCAGAATGGATACATAGACTTTATTAGGGCAAGCATTTCCACAGCTATAACAATGTCCTTAAAACAAATAAATATCCCAAGAACTTTGCTAAATAGTGATACTAAATGAAGCCAAAATCAGTAAAACTATAAATGAACACATTTCAGCACATAAACCAAGTATTCTTTATTTTTTTAATGGCATGACGTAATTACATTATTTTCCTGGTTACATTATATGAAAACCACAATGAATAGATAATAATTTACTTTTCCAAAGTAAAGAAATATACTTGATCTATTATTTTTATGAATTCCGTTTGATGCTGCAAAATAAACATTACTGGGAAAAATTTTTTAAATCTTAGAAAAAACAGATACAATGAAAATGTAGATATTATATATGATTACTATAAAAATATTGTCAGGCAGGGAAATAGAAAATCATTATTTGAATATTGTAAGAACACAATATAAAGCAAACGGTTATCAAAATACACAAGGAGAGACATTCTGAAACAAATAAGAAAACACAAGATCACAAAGTGGGTGACAGCCATTTCTAAGGTATAATAGGTACTGAAATGCCATTGGGGAAATGAGCAGAACTATTTCCTGAAGTGGTGGTGACAAAGGACAGAAGTGGCTTTCAAAAATGCAAGAACTACAGTGAGTTAACTTACCACTGTCTGCAAATACAAGTGAGGAACTCTTGGGAGAACTTAAGCACCATTAACAGACACATCATACACCAGTTAGTGAAGCTGTTGATATTTTGGAAGCAAACTATTTCAATGGTGAAAATGATGCAGGAATCAGAAGCATATTCTGCTGAGACACTAGATAGTTGACACTTTCCCGAACTGGAAAAACATTTCATAAAAAGGCACACAGAGTTAGTGACTAAATCAAATTTGTTCTAAAAAATAATTCATGCCTAGTGGAACAGCTTACCAGCCGCCACAACTCTGGGATCCTCATGAGACAGATGTCTCCCAGCAGCACGGCTATCCATAGTTTCATTCCACCAAAGAACATGAACTGCAGAAATAAACCAGAAGTTGATGCTAAGTAATACGGCATTCAGACATAAAAAACACAAGAAAATGACTCAGCAATGTTGTCTTATCTTGTAATCAGAATAGTGATGTCAAAAGAGTAAAGCCAAACATGTTAGTTTTACACAGGTTGAGTTTTCCTAATTCAAAGTGCTTCAGATTTCAGTTTTTCAGATTTTGGGATATTTGATACATCTTATAAGTTGAGCATTCCCAGTCTGGAGATCTGAAATGCAGCATTTTGGATTTTGGATTTCCCATTAGGGATGCTCAACCTGTATTAGTTCTTTAGAATAGGTTTCTAAAGATAGTTTTTAAATATATAAAATATCAGAAAAGTCAGACTTTGGAAGGGAATTTATAAATTAATCAACTTGGAAATAGAAGACTGAAGGGGGATACAAACTAATACAGCTAACAGTACAATTAAGGCTAGATCCAGATTTCATTACCTCTTATATTTATTTAAAAAAAGATTATAAAACTTTGTGGTAGAAAACTTAATGATAAAAAGAAATTAGTGTAATCTTAGATAAATAGAGGTCTAGATAAACTTCTATTAATATTGGGTATACTTCCTTAAATGGGTAAACCAAATTAGGGTCTTACTGTGCATTAAATTAGTAGATTTTTAAAAATCAACGAGGCTGGTACCGCGGCTCACTAGGCTAATCCTATACCTGCGGCGCCGGCTCCCCGGGGTTCTAGTCCTGGTTGGGGTGCCGGATTCTGTCACGGTTGTTCCTCTTCCAGTCCAGCTCTCTGCTGTGGCCCGGGAGTGCAGTGGAGGATGGCCCAAGTGCTTGGGCCCTGCACCCACATGGGAGACCAGGAGGAAGCACCTGGCTCCTGGTTTTGGATTGGCGTAGTGGCTATTTGGGGGTTGAACCAACAGAAGGAAGACCTTTCTCTCTGTCTCTCTTTCTCTCTCACTGTCTAACTCTAACTCTGCCTGTCAAAAAAAAAAAAATCAACAATGAGAATTTTCTATGTCATATACATATTCTAAAGATTAATTTATTTATTTGATACACAGAGTTAGAGGGACAGGGAGGAGAAAGGTCTCCCATCCACTCGTTCACTCCCCAAATAGCTGCAACAGTGCAGCTAGGAGCCAGGAGCTTCTTCCAGGTCTCCCATGTGGGTGCAGGGGCCCAAGCACTTGGGCCATCTCCCACTGCTTTCCCAGGCCTTTAGCAGGGAGCTGGATAGGAAAAGGAGCAGCTGGGACTCAAATGGGTGCCCATATGGAATGCTGGTGCTGCAGGTGGAGGTTTAACTTACCATAGCACAGCAGCTCCGACTCCTATATCAAGTATATTGTTAATGGCAATATGAATTCCTTCTTATTTATGACAACTTTTTAAAAAAATGTTTATTTATTTTAAAGAGTTATAGAGAGAGAAGGGAAGAAAGAGAAAGAGAGAGAGGTATCTTCCATATGTTGCTTTACTCCCAAAGTGGCTGCAATGGCTAGGGCTGGACCAAGTTAAAGCCAGGAGCTTGGAACTCATCCAGGTCTCCATGGGTGGCAGGGCTCAAGCTTTTGGACCATCTTCTGCTGCTTTCCTAGATACATTAGCAGGGAGCTGGATCAAAAGTGGAACAACTGGTGGCAGATATGACAGTAACTTAACCTGCTAAATCACAATGCTGGCCCTGAATATAAGAACTTTTTATCCAAACCTTTTATTGTTGACAGTTTGGAATATTCTCAATATTTCAGTATTCTACAAAATACTGAAATAGATTATACTGTACATAATTATCAGCAAGTTTTTCTTTTTTTATTTATTTGACAGGTAGAGTTATAGACAATGAGAGAGAGAGCCAGAGAGAAAGGTCTTCCTTCCGTTGGTTCACCCCACAAATGGCCGCTACGGGTGCTGCACCCATCCGAAGCCGGGAGCCAGGTGCTTCCTCCTGGTCTCCCATGCGGGTGCAGGGGCCCAGGCACTTGGGCCATCCTCCACTGCCCTCCTGGGTCATAGCAGAGAGCTTGCCTGGAAGAGAAGCAACTGAGACTAGAACTTGGCACCCATGTGGGATGCTGGCACTGCAGGCGGAGGATTAACCAAATAAGCCACGGCGCCGGCCCCAGCAAGTTTTTTGCTAAATAAAATCTATGGGGTGGGTGCTTGGCATAACAGATAATTTACTGCTTGGACATCTGCATCCCCCATTGCAGTACCTGGGTTCAAGTCTTGGCTCTACTCCCAGTTCCAGCTTCCTGTTAATGTGCGTGCTGGGAGGCAACAGGTGATGGCTCAAGTAGTTGGGTACCTGCTGTCCATACGGGAGACTCAGAATAAGTTCTTGGCTCCCTGCTTTGGTCCTGGCCATTGTGGGCATTTAGGGTGTAAACTGGTGAATGGGAGATTTCTATCTGTCTCAATCTCTTGATATCTCTCTGCTTTTTCAATAAAAAATTAATAATAATAATTTAAAACTTTACTACATTAGCTGTACAGATTTTTGGAAAATGTAGATAAAGGAGAGAATAAAAAGCATTTAAAAATATTTATTTATTTATTTGAAAAGCAGAGTTATGGAGAGGCAGAGAGAGATCAGTCTTGCACCTGCTTGTTTGCTCCCCAAATCGCTGCACCAGCCAGAGCTATGTCAGTCTGAAGCCAGGAGCCAGGAGCTTCTTCTGGGTCTCCCCAACTTGGGCCATCTTCTGCTTTTCCAGGCCATAGCAGAGAGCTGGATCAGAAATGGAGCAGCCAGGACTCGAACCAGCACCCATATGGGATGTTGGCACTGCAGGCAGTGGCTTTTACCCACTAGACCACAGCACTGTCCCCTAAAAAGCATTTCTAATCCCATCATCCCCAAATAACCACTTTTACATCTTGGTGTATCATTTCCATATTTTTACATATGGTTATATATTTACTTAAATACAAACAATGTTTATGTTTATATATTTTTATGATACATATGATGTATATATATATTTCTACTTGAGTATTACAAATGTATTTATTATATAAGTTGGTACTTTCATGCTGTTTCCAGCATTTCCTTTTTGTAATCAAAGTGCACATAAACTTAGAGCCGCATCTACATCTAAACCTACAATAATAACATTCTTGACAACTACTACTGATATTTATTGTGCACTTCCTATTTGCCAGGCCTGGCTTTTAAAGCCTTTTTATGTATTAATTCATTTAATAATCTAGGTAGTAGGTTATTATTACTATCATTTTATGGATGAGGAAACTAAGGCAGAGTGAGGTTAAGTAAATTACACAATGGCATGAAGTCATGAAGTGATGGGGTGGGATTCGACCCAGGCAATCTAGATCTGATATACAACATAACATAGTAATTAATATAAATTAATATTTAATATGAACTCCTAGAATTTAAATTGAGAGAACCTAAGAACATATATTATATACATAGATAAGCTTACACAGATGCAGTATATACTATACTTTGTCCTCCAGAGATGGTATACCAATTTATATTCAGTACACAGTCATTCTTCCACTATGCTGATAATAAATTTAAGTTTAAGAAATGTGTGTATAGAAGCCAGCACTGTGGTGTAGCATCCCATATGGGCACAGGTTCAATCCCTGGCTTCTCCACTTTGGATCCAGCTCCCTGCTGATGGCCTGAGAAAGCAGTAGCAGAAGATGGCCCAAATTCATGGGCCTATGTACTCACATCAGAGACCTGGAAGAAGTTTTTGGCTTCTGGCTTTGGCCTGTCCCAGTCCCAGCCCCAGTAGCTGCAGTCATTTGGGGAGTGAACTAGAGGATGAAAGATCTCTTTGTCTCTCCCTCTAGCTAACTCTGCCTTTCAAATAATTGTTTTTGTTTAAAAAAATTCTGTGTACAAAAGTTTTCAGTAGTTTTCTTATAAAAGTTATACATATTTAATATAGAAAATCAAAGAATTTAAAAAATCTTTTAATTTTACAATTCAAATATAACTGTATTTTGTATATGGTCAAATTTCTTTTGTATGTAACTAAACATACCCACAATACACATCCATGTATATAACCCAGAAGAAATGCTAGCAAAGATAATTTTTAAAAATGGAGTCTTTCTATTTGTACTATCACATTTTTTTGCATTTTTTCAAAGGAGTCACACTCAGTAAATGATTACTTAATTTCTCCCTGACCTAATAGCCTACTATGTAAGTATGTCTTTGCTGGGTGGAAAATGATGCAGTTACTGCTTTAATCTGCATCTCCTTTCAACTTTATTTAAAATTTGTATTTATTTTATTTTATATGAGAAGCAAAGAGAGACATCCATTTGCTGGTTCACTCAGCAAATGCCTGGGAGCTGGACTCAATCCAGGTGTCCCATGTTATAGCCATCTTTATGTCTATTTTTTCATAATTTACATTTTTCTTTTAGCTTTTGTATTTCATTTACAGTGATTTGGGGCATGTATTATAAAATCATCAGTTGACTTCCACCTGTCCTCACAGTTGGCCTCGCCTCGCCTCGCCCCACCCTCCCCTTTTTTCCCAGTACCTCTAAAATCTGCACCTGGGGCAGCTCCACCCAGCCTGCGCACTAGGCTTCAAGGCTCATCCCAGCAGCCCTCCTACTTGTCTTGGAGTAGCGTCCATGGGGGCAGAGGAGGTGGACAGAGCCTAGAGGGCAGCCGGCTCTCCCGGATTTCTTGGTCTTTCCTCCTTGCCACTCTTCCTGCTCTGCCTACTGCCAGTGCCTCTCCAGGGCCATCTATTTTTCAAGGTAGCTGATTTGGCAGGTGAGTTGTTAGACACTCCTTAGTGAATTCCGACTTCTATGGCCACTGTCCTGCTGTCTATATAACCCAGCACTTTTGTGGGGTCTGTGAGTGTCCGCATCGGCAGCTTTAACCGGGTGGTTTCATTCATGTGGCAGCACCAGTTCTGCTCACCAAAGGTGCCCTACTAGGTACTCTCATTTCATGCCCAGCCCCAAGCCAGCAAGCTGGGCTTCTGACTCAGTTAAAGTTTGAGGGCAGGTTGAGATGGTTTCTGCCTGAAGACCTCCAATCATTTGCTTTACAGGATAAAACTGAGGGTGCAAGAACACCAGCTGTCTGGAGGGAACCCGCCACTAGATGGTTCTAGTAGTCTTTTACCCCTATACCCAAGTCAGATGACTGATTTGCACATCAGGACCTGTATGGACTTCCACCTGGGTTCCCTCTGGTTTTGCCCTGTAGAGGCATTGTTCACTATCTTTCAGGTCCTAACACATGCCTTCGTGCCCTGCCTCCCTGGCAGGCCGCAGTTTTCTTCACGTAATTTGGGCTTAGAAATAAAGTGCCCATCCATGAATTCACAATATTTTAATAATTCTATGACTACAACTTTTACATGTACTCTATAATCCATTTGCATTTTATTTTTGCATATGTGAGATAAATGATAATTTTCATAATTTCTTCCTCTTTTCCAATTTGACAATAGGTATTTTTAAAGATTTTCTGATTACTTTCTTTGAACATATGAGTATTACTAGAAGTTGAATTTCTGGGTAAAGATCAGGAGCTCAGATTTGAATAGGTTAGACATCCACTGAACATTCAAGCAGGGAAGCCGAAGAATCAATTGTGTAAAATGAGTCTTTCAAATATTTTATTAGCTATTTTTAGACATTTATCCTTCCATAGAAACATTACACACATTTTTTAGAATTTCCCAAAAAAGTTTTTCTGAAATTTTTACTGCTAGAGTGTTAGGAAGTCATGTTGATCATGTATATGCATTGCTTCTAGCCTGTTTATTTCAAATAACATGCTGGACTTGATATTCTTATGGTCATTTATATATGTATAACAGTTTTATTTTAAAGTAATAGGAAATGAGTAATTTTCCCCTTTGAGGTTGTCCTTGTTTTAGCATTTATAAAAAATAGGTATTACATTTTCATTTAGAAATAGCTCTCTACCCAAAGTGATTTTTTAAAAAATAAAAGTATACACTTAGAGGAAAAAAGATGAAAATAAATATTTTGAGGCTCTCTTCAGTTTTCATTATTTTGATGTATTATAAAAAAATCAACTCAGCATATGAAAGAACATGATATTAACATTGTAAGAAATGTGTATCTATTTTTGCCACCTTTAAAATTACAAAAAACCCACAATAATTTGTCAATAAACTAGACACCATAACGAAAAAGAGAGGCAAGTTGACCCTATGAACTTAGATCATTATACACTGCAATTTCATAGAAGAAATGAATTAACTGTACCTCTGTTGAGTGCTCCATATTCTGTGTGGAAAACACCTACTAATTTTGTGTATCCTAGAGCAACATGGGCATTGACTGCCCTTTTAAATGCATCACCCCACAGAGCTGGGCCACCTGGTTTCATCTGAAAAGTAGCCAGTTCATAGACTCCTAGAATAGGGAGAAAAAAATCATATTACAGAAGACATTCAAGGCATTTTTAAACAAGATTTATTTACTTGAAATAGAGATCAATCTTCCATCTGCTAGTTCCCCCAATGGCCACAACAGCCAGGGCTGGTTTCCCACGTGGGGTGGCAGGGCCCATGTACTTAGGCCATCATCATTGCCTTCTCAGACTCATTAGCAGGAATATGGATTGGAAGCAGGGGAGCCAGGATACTAACTGATATGGGATGCAGGTTTACCAAGTTGCAGCTTAACCTGCTGTGCCACAAAGCCTATCCCATTCAAGCAATTGTTAATAAGGTTTATTTGAATCCAATAGTGGAAGGCTACTGATTTTAAAGAAACATCCATATATACTTATTTATATAGTCATATTTATTAATTCCTTGCATTATTTTTCCTGGCTTTTATGTTTAGAAAGTCCTTGTTCATGTTTAAGGGTCAGGTATTAAGATTAATCATAGAAGAGACAAAAGGACTAAAATCTATTATATAAGCAACTATCCGAAATCTTTTCAATCTGTCAAATTTGTCATTAAAACAGATATGGAGATCTAAAATGAAATAGGATATTTTATGAATTTTTAACAATTTTATTTAATGGGGTGGGGAAGAGAGAGAAAGCAAAAGAGAGCAGATATCAATTCCATCCACTGGTTCACTTCCCAAATAAATATCCACATCGCTGGTTGGGACTGGGCTTGGCTGAAGCCAGGAGCTGGGAACTCAATCCAGGTCTCCCACATGAATGGCAGGAACCCAGTAGCTGAGCTATCACTGCTGCCTCCCAGGGTCTGCACTAGCAGGTAGCTGGAGTCAGGAGCTGGGGCTGGACATGGAACCCTTGTATTCCAACGTGAGATGCCAGCATCTTCACTGCCAGACTAAATGTCCGCAACTGAAACAGGATTTTTGAGCCGCTCAAGTCTTCTAGAAAAGAAATGAATAAGTATTTTCTGATCTCCTACACTTCCCTCTTCTTTTCAATTTTGGGAGGAAATACCCTTTTCTTCGTATAATTTCACCCTGTAAAATTCCATTTCTAACAGGAACAGCAAGAAAACTGAATTTGTATCTCAATTCTTGAAGGAAAAATTCCTGAAGGAGAGGGTCTTATTGCTCTTAAATATCCATGTAAATTCTTGAAAAGCTTTTTATCTCTGGTCAGAAGTACTGGGTAGAAAAAGAAACTAGAGACAAGTAGATTAGACAAGAAAAAGGAAGAAAGTGCAGTTACTGAAGAATTATGGGATATCACTAAGACAGGAGAGGAGATGTGAGTAGACAGGATTCAAGTAAGACTTCAAATTTCTTGTAATCTAAAATATACTACAAAGTTAGGAATAAGGGAGAAATAACATTTAACTTAGTTTATGCTTTTCTAATCTGACCTTTGTTTAAAACTGGATTGAGGTTATAGTTTCTTTAAGTCAGCGAGAAGTAAAATCAGCAAGAAGACAAGTCTTAAGGAATTATTTTCAAACTGAGAAACAGGAAAGAAGACACAAAAATTAGACTACAGTAACATAACTTGGCAATTTGTTAATTCATTACCGCTAATTTTATAAGCAAAGTTTTACTTAATGAGTAAAGATTAGCTATAATTTGTGGAAAACACTTTTATATTTAAGCATGTCTATTATTCAAAATTATGCCAAAATACAATATCCCATCCTTTACCTATCCACATGTTCCCTGCTTCCAGCGTATGACCTCTCAACCTTTACTGACTAAGTAGACTATTTCTACAACAGAGTATGCTTTAGAAATCAATAAGATCCCATTTGGGGAAAAAGATGTCAGCATTTACCTTTTTTTTTTTTTTTAAAGGATAAACTAAGAGCTTCAATTTATTTTTATCTCAACAACCACAGTATTTCTATAAAAAAACACGATTAATTTCATTGTTTTTCCAGTGGAACTTTGGCCTTTCCAGCTTAAGAGCTTAAATATCGCAGTCATCAACTCTCAAAACGTCTCAGGAAGGACTTACCTTCTTTTGGAGGCTTTTCTAGTTTGCACCATGGTACCAGGTAAGTAATTTCACTCTCTTGTTTATCCACAAGAGGCAAATTTGGAATGAGGAATTGTTCTTGCCATTCCTTATCTTTGGCCAAAGCTTTCCGAACTTCAGTTCGATGAGCAAAATTATCTATGGGAGGAAGGAATTAAGAAAAACTAAGAATTCTCAATTTAAAATTGCCTCTGCTTTTCTGGATTTCATTCAAGTTAGTGTTATGTTCATGGATAGTATAGAGAAACATCATGTTTTGTTTTTGGAGGTAACCACATAAACATATATGGTATCTGCCCTTATGTTGCAGTTTAAATGGAAATAGAAATATTAAAAACTAATTATAAAGTCATATAATGGGCTTAATATGCTCTAACACTTAGGATATAGTTCTGTGAATTAGGTAAATTACTGACTCTATGCCTCAGTTTTTTAGTTTATGAAAAGGAGATAATAATGTAATATCTATTTCCATTGTTAGAAGGATTAAATGAATTAAAACATAAAAAGAGCTACAAACTCTTGTTAGCATTCAATATATGTGGACTACTCTTATTAATTTAATCATGGCATTTAGCTGACAGTACTACTTTAAAGAAAGACTATTTTTCCTTGGTGGTAGTGGTGATAAGTGGTCAGATCGAGATATACCTTGAAACAAATTTAACGTAAGTGAAATTAAAATTTTCTTTTTTAATGCCTCTTTTCCTTTGCACAAATAGCTTTTAAACAAATAGTGTTCATTGTCTTACTTGTCATCCATTCATTTTCCCCAGCACTTATTTTTCTTCTTTCTGAGTTATTCAAACAGGTATATTATACTTTACCAATTTATGGATGTAGAACTATATTTACTATGAGGACTTCATAAGACTCATGACAAAAGTTTTAAATGGTGGTGTTAGGGATGAAGAGTAACAACCAATTTTACACTAAGTCAAGTATATCAGGATTTTATTAGTTGTTTCAATGAGCTACGATTTAATCTGTACCATACCTAAAGCATACATTGTTTCAACGGGGCTTATTCCATTACAATAGGGAAAAATCCTAAAATATGCCCATGTTAGGTATGTAATGACTACTTTCATGTTGAAATACTTTACAAATATTAATTTGACACAGATGACAAAACACTAAATGAAGTAACTAACAGCTTGCGCCTATCATTAAGTCCTGATGTGGACCCTGGAGTAACAAACGTGATGATTCCTGTAAACCCGTTCTCTTTCCTCTGCGAAACCAGCATTGGGCCACCTTCAATATGGAAAGAACTCTGATTCTTTTTCTTAACTTCCCTAGGGTGGTATAATAGGGAATTCCCTGAAACTCTTGAGTAAAGAAATGAATAAAAAGTAATTTCTAGGGAGTGACTGTGACACCTCCAACCCACATTGGAGTGCTTTTGTTCAGTTCCAGGCTCTGGCTCCTATCTCCAGTTGCTTGCCAATATAGATAGACTCTGGTTAGGCAGCTAGTTCAATTCATGGGGTTACTGCCTCCCATGTGGGAAACCTGGACTTTATTTTCAGCTTCTGGCTCTGGCCTTACCTAACCTCTGCCACTGTGGACATTTAGTGAACCAGTGGATGGGAATTCTCTCCCTTCCTCCCTCCCTCTGTCTGGCTCTCAAATAAGAAAAAAAGTAGTCTCTAAACCTAACAATTATTAAATCTCAGAGTTAGGTCAGGCTTAAAAGCTGACAATTATCCCCTTTAAGACTCCATTTTTCCTAAAGCCCTCATATGCTTGAATATTTCTGACAATATTTATATTTAGTTTCAGTTTTAATAGAAGAAACTACTTACTTCCTTTTGTGATCTTAACTCACTTGGGCTTCTGTGATTACTGCTTTAAATTCTTCAAAAACTATCTTTACAAAAAGCCACTCTAAAATTTTTTTGAAATTAGTCCCCCCCCCCCTTTTTAAATTTGAGAGGCAAGACAATAAAGAGTTTACATTTACATATGTTGGCTCACTCGCCAAATGCCAGCATGAGACAACACTTTTTCCCATTTAGGTTAACCTAAGAGCTCTTTAGAGTAAGGAGTTATCAGAACTGTAATTCTGGGAAGAGTAATAATTGAATTTTTGGTAGTGTATTATTTTATAACAGTTTTACTTAACCTGCATATAACCAAGTAATACAGATCCAAGAAATAAGTCTCATATAACATCTAACAGAATGAAAATCTGTGCTAAACATTAAAGGTGGATGACTCTTACCATACTTCCAAATATGAAACACTTTATTCATTCTACCACCAAATTCAACACGCCAATAGCCAACCAATTCAGAGTGAGCTGTCCGAAGATGAACATTTTTCTTAAAATTTTCCAGGAATTCATTCATCTTTGAGGGCTTTAGAGAATAAGTACGAAATTCATAAAATGTTCCATCTTTTTGTCTGGGGCCTGTGGCAAAAGATGAGCACACCTGAAGAAAGAAAATGTAAATGTTTTCTGGAAGGCAGGATTTATTATATTGTATTACAACCGAATCTGAGTCTGGAAACAAGGGATACTCAGGAAATTCACAAGCTAGGTGTGTAATTTTCTTGTCAATTCTCTACACATGTGTTCATGTAGAAATGTCAATAAAGATAATTACTTTTATTTATTTTTTTAAGATTTATTTATTTGAGAGGTAGAGAGAGAGGGGGGTATCTTCCATGCGCTGGTTCACTCCTTAAATGGCGGCAACGGCCAGAGCTAGGTTGATCGGAAGCCAGGAGCCAGGAGCTTCCCCCGGGTCTCCCACCCAGGTGAAGGGGCCCAAGGACTTGGGCCATTGTCTGCTGCTTTCCCAGGCCATAGCAGAGAGCTGGATCAGAAGTGGAGCACCTGGGAATCGAACCAGCACCCATATGGGATGCCAGCACTGCAGGTGACAAGTTTACCAGCTATACCACAGTGCCAGCCCCGAGATAATTACTTTTAAGTATGCTGAATATTCAGCTACTATTTCCTAGTGGGGGATTATCCTTAGTCACTTTTTCTTGAGAAAGCTGTTCCTAAGAAGGCATTAGGGTCTTAAAGATATTCTTTCACTCGAGAACTGCAATTAGGAGTCTTAAATTTTCAAAAAGGTTTCTCCTATTTAGTCAATATTCCATCTTGAGTCCACATAATGTGTGTCAGAATTATGCATACAAAGTAATTTTATAAAATATGCACATCTTTTGGCAGGCACAATGAAAATATGTTTAATATCAGAAAACTTTTTTTAAAATGGAAATTGCTATTGAGGGTGAAAGTATTTCCTAAATTCCATGAAGCAAATAACTGCTTAAAAAACAGGACTGGAACGTAACCAATGTATTAGTAAGCTATGGCCTATCTAAATAGATTTCATTATAGTGATAGAGTATATGAATGCTGAAATAGGAAATTTTAAGGAGTCAGAATTATCTAAGGCACTATTGTAATCACAGATGTTAAAGAGTTGCAGATTGGTGCCTCCTCACATGGGGCACCATAAACATTAGGAAAAGAGGGGCAGAATAGAGAGGAGGCAGCGTACGGATTTACAGGCAGACCAAATTTATCCAGAGAAAATAAATTCATAGAGGTGGGTGACCAACTGCCTGCATGTACATGATGGAACACATGGCAGAAGGCCCTGACCTCTAGGGGCTGGGCCTTTTTCTATTTTAGGAGGGCTAGGGATGGGGTGGAGGTAGGGGGCAGCAGGCGGAGGGCAATTCCTGGAACTGGTATTTCAAGTGTTCCAGCACCTGGTCTTTCTGGAGGCTGGGGTGGGGTGGAGTATGAAGGCAACATGGTGTGAGACCCAACTGAGATTCAAGTGCAAGGAGTAAATTCCAATGTTTATCTGTCTTTTGGGCAATGAGCAAGGGTGGCTGAAGCTTATGCCTTCCTTTCATCAGATGTAATGTGAAAGGGGCACTTAATATCTTCAGTTGCACCAAGTTGATGGAACTATCCCTTCTTTTGTAATATGCTATGTAAATTTTTAATTCCTGTTCTGAGTGAACTTAACTTTTATTAGGAAATGCTTTGCCAGAAATTGTCCTCTGTGTCATGGACACGCACATAAACAAATATATATCTGCAAGTTACACAGATATGTATACACACTCAAGGCACTGTAATTTACAAATGCATGCCATCTAAGTCTGATTCGCATGTATGCATTCCTGAAGCTAATTACATCAGAAAAATCTATGAAATCGGTTTTGGTACCTACAGGGGTATGGACAAATTAGGGCTTATATTGACTATTTGGTATGTTTAATGAAAGCTAGGCTTTATACTTGTGTATAAAGCTTAATATAATTATGTAACTTGAGCTGCTATACTGACGTCTAGTCTGTTACATTCTTAATGCCCAAATGACTAAGCTTGCCATCAAAAACAAGTGCAGCTTCCCTTTAATTTCCACTGAAAGAATGTTTGTGGAAGATTTTTTTGTGACTTTTAACTAAATCTATTAACAGGACCTAGAGTTTTAAAAATGTTATAAAATATGGTTAAAAATATACCAACATGGGGCTTTTAGACAATTGCTTTTAAAGACTGCATGGCCGTTAATGCTTCCTCTTGCTGTTCACCGGAAAGTCTGTCTCTAGAACAGGCAACCTCTCTTCCTATGCCGCCCAAGAGAAAGAGGTAAAAAGCTAAGCATCAAGAAGGAACAATCATCTCTGGGTGAGATGACAGTTGCTGGCCTGGAGCAAAACTTCATTTGCACCGCTGTCACCTAGGGTTACAGGAGCTCCTCCTCGCCCTGTTTGCTGGGAGGGGCTGGACTTTGCTCCCTCGGGGACCGACCGCAGGGGAAGCGGGAGAGCCGGCAGCGGCCTCTTGGCTTCAAGGTTCCCCTCAAAATGCTGGGAAGTGTGCAGTTCATTTAAAAGGGGAGGCCGATTCTGTAGCGAGCAGCTGGTTAACCTTTCTCCCACTTTCCGTGGCTAGTAAAGCCACGAATCAACACCAGGCCCTGAGACCCACAAGCCGCGAGCGCTCGTCCAGGCGCCGCCACTACCTCACTGGCGACCCAAACGCCCGCCCGAGCCGGCGCCTCGGCTGTGTCTGCAGGGCAGCTCAGCTTTTCTCTCAGGGGAGTCAAGTCCTCTGTCCTTTTGAGTCGGACAGGAAGCGACCCTGACAAGCAGATACAACCCTGGTCGCCCCTCAGGAACGCCGCCCCGTTCCCGGCATCAGCTTGAGAGCTGGAGAGCGCATGCGCGGCCCTCCCCTCCCCTCCCCCCAGAGCCTCCGGTCCGGGGCACCCTCGCGGCGGGTACCTGAGGCGCCAGTGTCCGCGCAGCTAGCGCCTTAGTCAGGCTGTGTCGGAGGACAAGCATGGCGGGGCCTGGAGCGCTGGCAAGGCAGCTAGTCTGTGTCCTGACACTCGCTGTCTGTGGCCTCCCGACTGGAAACGAGCAGCGACGAATGGACGAATGGCGGAGGCGGGGGCGGGGCCGGCAGGGTCAGTCCCGCCCCGGGTCCGGGAAGCAGGGGCGCTGTCCTCTTGGCGTCTGCCCTGTCAGCGCTGACTCTTGGATTCTGCCTTTGTTTCCTCAATGGAATTGCCCTGAACGTCAGAGGTGTGAGACGATTCTGAACGCTGAGGTCGTTCCCGTCCGTTCGCCTCTCAGGACCACACCGCGTCTGCTCCCGTGCGCGGAGGCGGGCATTAGCAAATGTGTGTGGAACGCGCGCGTGTGTGTCCTGGAGGAGGCTGGCTGTGTGGACACGTGCGCGTGTAATACCTGGCATTTGTACTTATCGGGGGTTTTGCTGAGGTGAAGCTTTGTAGGGTGTAAGTGACACGGAAGCAGATCAGCAAGATTCTCCTTTCTCCATCCCCGTTGCACCTCGGCTCAGAGGACTGGGGTCCTGAGCCTGATGTGAGGACGTCACATTCAAACCTACATCGTTTGAAATCAAGTAGTTCCGTAAGCTTTAAAAGCCAAACAGCCGACCTCAGATCAAGTCCTTTCTGATTATTGGTCCCCACAGTAACTTCATTTACCGTATTCAAATTGTTTCCTCTAATACTTGTCTCTGTCGGTTACATTAGCAGTGGAAGGTGGTCCAAGTAGTAGGGCCCCTCCTGGCCTTGACTTGGCCTGCGGCAGGATTCATGTACCGAGAAGACACCAAGGCTTTTTTTTTTTTTTTTTTAATTTGACAGAGTTATAGATAGAAAAGTCCTCCTTCCGTTGGTTCACTCTCCAAATGGCTGCCACGGCCAGTGCTGTGCCAACCCAAAGCCAGGAGCCAAGTGACTCTTTGTGGTCTCCCTGTGGGTGCAGGGGCCCAAGCACTTGGGCCATCCTCCACTGCCCTCCTGGGGCACAGCAGAGAGCTGGACTGGAAGAGGAGCAACCAGGACAGAATCCTTCGCCCATATGGGATGCCAGCGCCGCAGGCAGAGGATTAACCAAGTGAGCCATGGTGCTGGCCCCGACACCAAGGCTTTGAAATAGGAATTACTCTTTTATTCTGACATAAGGTCAAGGTGGAAACAAAGAGGAGTATTTCCTTATATATGGTTTTAGCCTCTTTGTCTCTGCATTAATTGGATATTCTGATGTTAAACTGTGGCCACAGGATTGATACAATGATGCTCATGGGAAAGTAGTTACTGAAGTTTTTTTTTTTTTTTTACACACATACTAAGCCATCTGCTGTCTGGCAAGTGTTAACATCTTTGCTCTGTGCTAACAAGCAGAGTCTGAAATGGTTACATATAAGCAGATAGTAACTACAGTTGGAACATTCATTGGCAAGCACATAATAACTACATTTCATTCCCAGGACAGATGCCTCCCTTTTTCTTCTTCTAACCTTGGGACAGCCTCTGCTACAACTTTAATAATGTCTGTTAGAAAGAAGTTTAATTAAATGATAACGACCTCTGCCACAGGCCCAGATTTAGCTGTCCTGTCCATTTGGAGAGTGAACCATTGGGTGAAAGACCTCTCTATCTCTTCCTTTAAAATAAGTAAAACATTGAATTTTTAAAAACAAGTTAGTGATAGAATCCTTAGCTTGGTGTGGCCGTGTGGCTAATCCTAGTCAGTGGGACATGTCAGTGCTCTTATAACCTTTGAATGATCCAAGTGGTTGGAAGAGAGGTTGTTGCCTTCTTTGTTTCTTCTTCATTTCTGCTTGCTGGAATGTTGATGTCTGACTTGAGTTTTTGGACTGTGGTAGAAGGAATATGCTGAAGATGGACAGACAAGCCATTAATTACAGGTGTTTTATTTCTTTTTTTTTTAGGTTTTTTTTTTTACATTTTATTTTTATTTTTATTTTATATTTTCCCAAAGAAACCATTTATTTAATGAGCACAAATTTCTTAAGTACAACTTTAGGAATATAGTGATTCTTCCCACCATACCCGTCTTCTCATTCCTACTCCCATCTCACCTCCTCCTGTTTGTCCCATTTCCAGGCCCATTCTTCTCTCCTTACATTATAGCACTTATCTCTCCCTTTTACTCTGAAGTTGGGAAAGTGAGGAGGATGTCTTCCTCCACTTTCTGTATGTCATTTGTCAAGGAGTATCTCATATTAAATGGGAATTACATAATTAGTTGTTGGAAAAAATGAATAAATGGTAATATACAGAAATGCCTTGGAATCTAAATCATTATTTCAAAAAAAGGCATACTAGAGCAATAGTAAGCAGTACAGAAGAATGTAAGTAAGATGAGTTGGGGGGCAGGACTTACATCGAGGCACAATTTCAGGTTAGTTGACACAATGTAAAGATGTGTTTTAGATGCCTACAAATATCCTTGTGACAACTCAGAAACTAGTAGGACTAGGCACCATGTGACCAATGCCCACTTGTGTTATGCTGCTAGTTAGCAAGAGACACCCTAATAGTTATCTTTTTAGGTCTTCTTCCAGCATTGTTTCTGGTTAATTCAGGTTTTGTTGAGTTCTCTATATATTTATTTGTTTTCTATTTTTGGTACAGGAGATTTTTCTAAAAATATTTGTAGTTGGGATCCTTGTGAATCAGTTTATATTTTGAAGTAAGAATAAAAAACATTGAAAGTTTTTTTTTTTTTTTTTTTTTTTTTTTTGACAGGCAGAGTGGGCAGTGAGAGAGAGAGAGAGACAGAGAGAAAGATCTTCCTTTTTTTGCCGTTGGTTCACCCTCCAATGGCCACTGCTGCCGGCATGCTGTGGCTGGCACATCGCGCTGATCCGAAGCCAGGAGCCAGGTGCTTCTCCTGGCACCCATGCGGGTACAGGGCCCAAGCACTTGGGCCATCCTCCACTGCACTCCCGGGCCATAGCAGAGAGCTGGCCTGGAAGGGGGGCAACCGGGACAGAATCCGGCACCCTGACCGGGACTAGAACCCGCACCGCTAGGTGGAGGATTAGCCTATTGAGCCGCAGCCCTGGCTTGAAAGTTCTTTCAGCATAGCTAGTACCAGTTAAGTAATGGGCTCCACTGTGAAGTTTTCTCAGTGGACTCTTTCACTAAGAGAACTCCACTGCCCCATTCATTACTACCAGTAAATTATTTCTTTAGTCAATTACTCTATGCTGAACTACAGCACACAGTGTTCCATCTGTGAAGTATTAGCCTTCTTTCAATATCCTGTGACTAAGGAGGGAAATGAGGCTGGATGTCTCAGTATTTGATAGGTAGCCATTCATCTAATTTATTTAAGACTAGTTCTGACCCCTTCAGCTGTATCTAGTGTTCCTACTTGTGGTTAAATCTTTCAAGAATATACTAATTAGGATAGACTGAATGCTATAATATATATAGACAACTAATATATAATGTCTCAAACACACTAGAATTTGGTTGCTTATTCCTTAAGAATCTCAGAGGGATTTTCCCAGTTGACAAACCGTTCTTTTTCATGCATTGAATTAAGGACCTGGCCTTTTTCTACCTCCCGATTGTGCCCTCCAGAGCCTCAATATCAGCTACATCCACTCAGCAAAAAGGTAGAAGGGAAATTCAAGAGGAAAACACAGATAGTGTGGGGTAAAATTCATGTCTATAACTTAGGGAAAACATTGGTAAGTGCTGCCGGTTGCCAAAACAAATTTTCTATTTATCTTCTCATAGGTTTTAATTATTCTTGAAATTCTATGAATTCAGTTTTATCTCTATTTGCTGTATGAGAAAGGTGAAGTTCTGAGACATAAATATACTTGTTTTCAGGTTCACTGCTATTAAGTGGCATAGCCAGGGCCTGAATCCAGATTATAAAACCAGTTTAGTTTACTATTTTTAAAAGATAATCTCTAAGGTAGTTTTAGATTTTTAAGTAGCATTTAAAAAGAAGTGTTTTTCTTTGACTTTTTTTTTTGCATAAATCCCTAAATTGCCTCAAAGATATATTGAATCTAATCTAATCTTATCTATCTATCTATCTATCTATCTATCTATCTATCTTTGAAAGTCAGAATTACAGTGATAGAGGGATGGACAGAGAGAGAAAGAGAGATGGATCTTCCATCTGCTCTGGTTCACTTGCCAGAATTTCATCTGGATCTCACACATTGATTTCAGGGGCCCAAACACTTGGGTCATCTTCCATTGATTTTTTCCGAGCCATTAGCAGGGAGCCTTGTAGGAAGTAGAGCAGCCAGGACATGAACCAGCGACCTGGCAACTTTACTTGCTACACCACAATGCTAGTGCCTTGGGTAAATATTTTGAAAATTTCGATTTTATATCCGGATTATCTGAGGAGTCCAAAAGATAAATAGTCTAAACCCAGATAAACCTTACAAAAAATCAATGCTGGGTTTAGTAAAATAGGCTACTGTGATGTAGAATACCTGGGTAGTTATTTTATATTAGATTGACAGAGATGGCCTATCTTATGAAGAATTTTTCTTAGGTATGGAAGTGTACCTAAGGTATCTTACATTTAAAAAAAAAATAAAGTTAATACCTGTGACCTGTTGCTAAGCCTAAGAAATAGAATGCTGTTAGCTACTTAGAAGCCCAATATGTGTTTCTTTCTCATTAAATTATTTTCTGTACAATACCTTCCCTCAACTCCCTTAAGTAACTGATCCTGAATTTTGTGCCAGTTGTTACATTGATTTTTATTTTAAAACAAAAGATTTATTTATTTATTTGGAAGACAAAGAGAGAAGGAGGAAAAGAGGAAGCAAGGAAGAGAGAGGCCATCTGCTGGTTCACTCTCCAAATGGCTGCAATAGCCAGGTCTGGGCCAGGCCAAAGCCAGGAACCAGGAGCCAGGAAATCCTCCTGGGTCTCCCACAGAGGTGACTTGAGCCATCATTTGCTGCTTCCTAGGTACATTAGCAGGGAGCTGGACTGGAAGCAGAGTAGCTGGACTGGCACCAGCATTCTGATACTGGATGCAGGCATCCCAAGTCGAGGTTTAACCTACTGAACCACAGTGATCACCTCCTATTGAATTTTTTTAAAAAAATTTACTTGTATCTGTATTTAAACCTAAATGATATGTTGTTTTGGCTTTCCAA